ATCCCATGGGCACTAATCCCAGCTAGAGACTTTTCATCTCTATTTGTTTGTATAGTGGTCTATGAGTCAGAATTAAATCAATGGTAGTGAGTTTGGTTTGGTTTTCAAGAAGTGTTCTAAAGATGTCACTTTGACAACTAAAGGGTAGCTGACCCAAGGCAGGGTATTTTCAATCCTTTCACATGCACTCCAAAGCTGGACAGTGAATAAGGAAGACCAAAGAAGAATTAATGGCTTTGAATGTTGGTATTGGCAAAGCATATCAAATGCGATAAAATAAATTGTCTTGGAGGTACAGTCAGAATGTCCCTTAGATTCAAGGACGGTGCGACTACCTTTCAAGTATTTTTGGACATGTCATGCTTGGTAGAGAGACAGCAAAAAACAAGATGGATTGCCACTGGCTGCATCATTGGGCTCGAACATAACAGTACTTGTGAGGACGACACAAGACAAAGCAATGTTTTGTTCTGTAGTACATCAGGTCATTGAGTCAGAACCACCACCATTACAACACAGGTGTCTGCAATGTTCTTGGGTGGCACAAAGGTACTAACCTAAAGAATAATGGTTTGAACTCACACAGTGGCACCATGGAAGAAATCTGCTTTCATAATGACTATAGCCAAGAAAACCCAGCAAAGCAGTTCTACTCTGACACACACGGATGACCTTGTGTCTGGATCTAGTTGAGGTGAACTACTTAACCCTGAAACAACTAGAATTGGTTCACTAGCAACTGTCTTAGGCAGTTGTGATTTAGAAATTAGAATGAAGAGCCTAATTTAAAACTTTAAGTACTTGCTGTGGTTAACCATGATGGAAAGAAAGTAGCAGGAAAGCAGGGGAATGGGTTGTCTCCAGATCTTCAGTATGAAGAAAACAAGCCTTGTCCAAGGTAATGATGGTTCCTTGTTGATGTATCCTAAACATGCCAAAGACAACCAGCAGTTCCAGAACCTGAAATTTGTTAGAAGTGCAGATCCTTGGACTCCATCGCAGAGCTACTGAATAGGAAACACTGAAGGGAGGTGGAAAGGCACAATCTCTGTGTTTTACTAAATATCCAGGTGATTCTGATGCATGAAGAATATTTTGAAATTTGATTCACTTCACAATAATGAGGATTCTTTATGGGTCTACTTGGTCATGATTCAAAATGATGATGATGATGATGATGATGATGATGGTCATGATGCTGATAAAAAAAAACTTGCTGCCATTTAGTCATAGTGATCCACTGTGCATTTCTGTTTATAGGAGTAGAAAGCCCAGTCTTTCTCCCATGAAGCTGCTAGTGGTTTCAAACTGCCAACCATGTGGATCAAAACCCAATAATAAATATGACAAACACTAATCTGCTTCTGTGTCTGTGGAGTTGCCTATTCTGAACAGTTCATATAAATGGAATCCCATAATACGTAGTATGTGTATTTGGTTTTTCTTCCACTCGGCATGTTTAAGGGTTCATCCACGTTATATCACGTATCAGTACATCTTTCATCTTTATGGCCAAATAGTATTCTTCCATAAATATACAGCATCTTGTTTGTCCATTCATCTGCTGATAGACATTTGAGTTGTTCCTATAGCTTGGTCATTGTGAAGTGATGTTTTGAATATTTTTTTTATCAGTTTTTGTTTGAACACTTGTTTTTAATTGTTTGAGGAAAAAAATATTTTCTGTGCTGACTTAAAAAAAATAGACAACCTTTAAGATATTTTAAGGTATCTTAAAATCAGAACATTCAACAAATATTTTTGAGAGCATACTGCAGCAACTTAGAATGTAAAGCAGTGAGAATACAAATTGCAATGTAACAAGCATGATCCTGTATTAGGCCAGCTTGACTAGAGGAACAAATCCAGTGACAATCATGTATGTGTAAGTAGCTACATAGAATGAAAGCATCCCAGCTCAGTCCAACTCAAGTCCAAATGTCTGATACTAGTCCATAAAGCCTCTTCAGAATGATGCAGTCAAATGCAGTGAAATATGATAAAATAAGATAAAATTCTGATGCAGAATGCAGGAAGACCACAGGCCAGTGGGTGCAGAGTTGTGTGGATCTAATGGTAGTAGCTGCATCTCCAGGGGTCTGGCAAGTCTCAAAGTGGTTTGCCAGCAGGAAGGTAAAGGCAGAGAGATAGTGGGAGGTTCCCAGGTCCATCCTTATGGAAAGGCCACACTCACAAGGAGGCACTATCGGGCTGTGATTTGATTGACAAGCTAGACTCACCTTACACCTTTATATATCGAGATTGACATGAAACCGTGCAACTACCACAGATCCCTTCCCTCATTAGGAATGACATAAAATTTAATAAGTGAGTAAAACACAAACCTGGTAGCAGTTGGTTTAAGGGTTCCTTTTCTGTTTGCTATGAAAAGAAAGCAAAAGGTAGTAATGAAGTATTCAAGGAAGGTCCTCTAACAGGATACTTTTAGATGTAAGAAACAAACTCAGGGCTGCTAACTGCAGAGTCAGCTACTCAAGCCCAACAGCCTTTCCTTGGGAGAAAGACGAGGCTATCTGCTCTCAAAGATTTATCATTTCATAAACTCTAATAGAGCTGGCTGTGAGTCAGAATCAACTTAATGGAGGTGGCTTTGGTTTAGATTTAAGAGTAGCTTCTGCAATAATGGCATTTATTATCTTACCTAGTAAATCTAAAGGAAGGAGGTTCGAGTGAGTCCCTGGGTGGTGCAATGGTTAACTTGCTTGACTGCTAACCAAAAGGTTAGATATTCCAGTCCATTCAGAGGTGACTTGGAAGAAAGGCCTAGTGATCTATTTAGAAAAAAAAAAAAGCAGCCATTAAAACATCATGGGACATCAGAGTTTTATACACTGACAAATTAGAGTTGACTTAACAACTGGCCTTAGGGAGGTTCCCTGGTTGTCAGTAGCTCCACAACATCTCTTTCCTGCTCTGCTCGGTCAACCTCAGGGTACCAGTTATTTCCTTTATGTCTAATAAAGGACAGCAACTCCAGGTATCATGTCTTCCTCCCAGAACAAGGTTCAAATAACAGAATCTAGTCCCTTTGTAGAGCAAGAAAAAAGTCTCCTAGAAATCTCAACATTCTACTCATCAGGACTGTTCTACTGCATTCACATAATAATCCTGGCAAGGAAATAGAAGTATAACGTGATTCAAGAAAAACCAGGCTTGGGGATAGAAAGGGACCCAACTTCCCCTAACCTGGACAATACTTGTTCTAGAAAAATGTGAAAAGAAGAATGACTGCAGCCACGAGTGTCTCCACAGGTGCCCTGGCAAGATTTCCTGAAGGAAATCCATCCAAGTGTTCTTCTCTTGAAAACAAAAGTCAAATTTCACTATGTCGAAGACTAGATTTATGATTCGAATTGAAGTGATCTCTTCCACTGCTGTATTTCTTTACTAATAGTCCCACCAATCCAGCTGTCCAGGCCAGAAAAATAGCTGTTGTTGTAACCCTCCACGTCTGAACATCACCAAATTATATCGGTTCCCTTAAAAAGCAAAAAACACACCGATGAAACACACAACTCTCCTCTAGTTCTTTAATTCTTCCTTCCCCCCAGTATCATGACCTCAATTTTACCTTACAAACCGGATTAGACCAGAACATGCACACTGCTACAGATAAGAGCCCCAAACACAGGGAATCCAGGATAGATAAACCCCTCAGGGCCAACAAGGAGAATCTAGATACCAGGAGGATAAAGGGAAGGTGGGGGTAGAAAGGGAGAATCGATCACAAGAATCAACATATAACCCCCTCTCCCAGGGGGACGAACAACAGAAAAGTGGATAAAGGGCGACAGAGGACAATGTAAGATATGAAAATAATAATCTATAACTTATCAAGGGTTCATGAGGGGGGCAGGTGTGGGTTGGAGGAGGAAAATGAGAAACTAATATCAAGGGCTCAAGTAGAAAGAAAATGTTTTGAAAATGATGATGGCAGCATATGGACAAATGTACTTTACACAATGGATGAATGTATGGATTGTGATGAGATGTAGGAGCCCCCAATAAAAGTATTTAATAAAAAACAAAACGAAACGAAACCTCTTGCATCTAATTCACTCTCCACTAGTCAATCTTCTCTGCTTAGTTTCCCTGCACCTACCCTAACCTATTCCTTTGCAATGCTAATTAAGTTACCATTTCAAATAAAAGCACTACTACCAGCCACTCCCAGGGAGAAAAGACAAGCTTTCTATGCCCGGAAAGAGATTGTCTCAAAAACTCAGAGTAGTTCTGTTCTGTCCTGTGCGATTAGATGGTAGTGAGGATGCTGAAAACTTACTTTCTGCTGTTGCTGGATTAAAGGCCGAAATACGGCCCCTATTGACCCGCCCTTCTATAATTCCAATGTGCTTGAATGTGCTTGCTCCATCTCACCCTGAGATTTTTGCTCCTCGCCATCTTTGCGACTTGCCCAGACTTCCTAAGTAGATCTGGCTGCCTTGCTACCCGGCGCCTTCTGAATTCCGCACTTTCTCTCAGGGGCACCGGCTCGCAGCCTGTGAACTGTAAGCGCCCTGAAGATGAGGACTACAGTTTCCTCCCACATAGTGCGCGACATAGCGAATGCTCTATGAACAGTTGTTGGATGGCTACATGAACACACGCCTTTGAAGAAGAGCCAGCTTGAATGCGAAGCCAGCTTCTGAGCAGACAGCTAGCGCGGTATCTTAACTGCGTCTCCAAGCGGCCTGGACCACGAACGCTCGTTTCTCTTCGCAGTAGCCCCGCCCCTTCGGCCCGGCTCGGAGGGGTGGAGCGTCGAGGTCGCGTGACGCGGCAACAGTTGGTCAGTGATTGGACTTTCAGGGGAGTGGCTAGAAAGAGGGCGTGTCCGCGCGTGCTGATTGGCCCGCTGACGACGGCTAGGCGGACCGCGTCGGCGCGGGGGGGCGGGGGGCTGCCGGCGGGGAGTCGACCTGGTCGGGCTGGGAGGGAGGCGGTGGCCGCGGGTGGAATGGGTCCTCGTCGCCGGCAACGCTGAGGCACGCACGCGTGGGCTGCTTGCTGACCTGCAGTGCCGCGGCAGCATGAAGGGCGCTCTGGGGAGCCCCGTGGCCTCCGCTGGCGCCACGATGCAAGCGAGTTTCGGCTGCGTTGTGGCCAACCGCTTTCACCAGCTGCTGGACAACGAGTCCGACCCGTTTGACATCCTGCGGGAGGCCGAGTGCCGGCGCCAGCAGCAGCTCCAGCGCAAGAGGCGCGACGAGGCGGCGGCGCCTGGGGTGGGCGCCCGCGGCGGC